CTTATTATCTCTGTAGTTTGATTTTGACATTAGACTCTTGGATGAAATTCTTTTTGAAAAAAGAAACTTCGCTTCGGGTCTATACGCCAAAATTATTATACGGGTAATAAGTTCCAGAGTGCGAGTCGAGTCTATACGATACTCAATTACTGCTTCTAATCGTGAACCAAGCAGATCTTATGGTTAATTGTTTGAATGAATGTGCAGGGTGGGCACTTTGTGTTTATAGATAATCCATCAGGATTCCACTCCGCGGTGTTCCATGCTTGCCGGCGGTTTCTCAAGGATCTTGCTGATGACCAACCCCTTCCTGAGGGCCTTACGTCTGCATAAGCTACTCCGGAGCATATTGTTTTACGAAAATATATGTGATATAATATATGTACATTGTTCGTTGTACTTAAATAATTCTCAAATCCAGCTATTGTTGTCGGAAGCAACATCTGAGCTAAATTATTAGAGTAAATAGTTCAAGTGCCGTTGAGGTATGTAAAATGGTTTTCTTCTTGGTGTTTAGCGAGGCATGCATCGGTGCTGCAGCAGTCTGTGTATTTGCATGTGCCCACGGGCTCTGCAGCGGTAACCGTGTCTACGTGCTTACAGTATCTCGCAATATGTACTTATATTTAATTAAGTGAAAATAACGATTGGAAAAAAAATCAATTAAAAATCATTTAACGGTCACTTCCATCTTTGTCCATATTCTGATCGATAATTGGACTGCCAAATTGCCAGCAGCAGCAGTAAACAAGGAAGCGAGTAGGGACTAAAAGGGAACCTGTTACCCAATCATAAAAAAGCTCTTTTTTCCTATTTCTTGAGAAAAAAAAAGCGAGGAGCAGAGGAATACAGAAAGCAACAAAAGCAACCAGGCTCTTGAACTTGGACCCCGTGAGCTGACTAGAGTCAGCAGTACCCCACTCCCTTCACTCACTACTACTCTCTTTTGTCCCACATCCCAATAGCACTACAGCATGTGGCTCCTTCACTTCCCTCATTCCGGCCCCCTCGTGGGCTAAAAAAGCCCAAAAGGCATGGGCCATCCATCCCTGAAACCAGCGTTGTAGGATCTTTAATCTTCGGTCAGGATTATCAGTCGAAAAAAGATGGATTTGGAAAAAGACAGAAACACCCCAACGGCTACTTCTCAATTTTTATTCCCTTCTTTTTGGCGGGCTGCCTGCTACTTATTAGTAGCTGGGCCCACCCTCGGGTCCTGGGTCAAGTTGACTGGTCATCAATGCGCGAAAAAGCAAAAAAATTTAAAATTAAAATTTAAAAATCAAACAAAAAACCCGGGAAAAAGTGTTTGGAATCAAATCCTACGTGGCACTAAGCTGGTGAGGGCTGAGATGTGGGCTCGGCCGATGATGGCAATTCCGGCCCGACCCGGCACCGGTCGAGCATGAACTCGATGTCGGACATAGGCGGTCGATCTAACGGGTCGGGTGCGGTGCAGAGGAGCCCGACCTTAACGCCGAGGAGGAATTCCTCCCACTCTGACGATTCCGGGTCCAATTCCAGCAATCCAGGTTCAAGCAGTTCAGAAATTTGGCCTCTCTGCAGCTGCCTCTTCACCCATTTCACGATATCCTCCTCCTCTCCGGCAAACATCCCCGGCCTCCTCCCCGTCAATAGCTCGAGCAACACACATCCCCTTCTTTCGTCGCTTGCCCAGCTGCTGCAGCATCAGGTGCAACATAACCCAACGAACCGACTGGCGTCGAAGATGTTGATGCCGCTTCGGCTGCTGCTCCCGCGGTGACCACCATGCTCTCGAGGCCAAAATCAGATAGGTGTGGCTCAAAGTCTGCGTCAAACAGAACATTCTGCGGCTTGACGTCGCCGTGGATGACATTGTGGGCGTGCAAGAACGCGAGGCCGCGTGCTACTCCGAGGGCGATGAGATGCCGCATTGGCCAGTTGAGAATGTGGCCGCCTTGGTGTGAGGCTTCTTGGAGCAATGTGCCGAGGTTGCCGTTTGGCATGTAATCGTAGATCAACAATCGGACGTCGGGTGGTGGGCCTGCGTAGTAGCCTCGGAGGACGGTGAGATTCCGGTGCTTGAGTTTGCCGAGTCCCTCGGCTTCCTTTCGGAAGAAAGCCTCATCAACGACAACGGCTCCATCAGCGGAGCGGACGGGAGCGCGGAGGATGGAGAGGAGACAGTACCGTCGTTATAGCAGGCTTTGAATTACGAGGCCATGGCGGCACGGCTGAGGACGTTTCTCCTCATCGAACTGCCTCGTGGCTTCAAGCGTCTCGGCCATAAGGTGATCTTGTTGCTGAACATTATCAGCCCTTGGGCCTCTGTTATCGCCATTGCTTTGTTGTGCTCGAGCCGCTGCCTCGAGCCGGCGGTGTGCTTCTTGATGCCTGCTCGGCCTGTCTAGAAATCTCCGCCGCCAGCGGATCAAGCAGAATGCACAGCAGCAGCAGAGGAGGACGAGGATCAGAGCTAGAGCAGCGCCGAGAGTGATGAACAGGATCAGTCTTGTGCTAATCTTCCTCTTTCTCTTCTCGCCTCGACAATAATTGTCCAATGGCGCTCCGCATAGATCTTCGTTTCCGACAAACATCGAAGAATCGTTGAACCGGGATCCGAGTGGTCCAGGGATCAGACCTTGGAGATTGTTATAGGAGACATTGAAGTCTGTTAAGCCGGTGATGCGAGCAAAACTAGAAGGGATTGTGCCTGTAAGATTGTTCGTCGAAAGATCCATCGTCTGCAACTTTGATAAATTGGACAAAGAGTTGGGAATGTTACCGGAGAGATGATTGTGGTCTAATCGGAGTGTGACCAGCGACGAGCATTCAGAGATCTCCAGTGGAATTTCAGCAGAGAGAATGTTGTAGCCAAGATCAAGCTCAACCAAGTTTGAAAGCCTAGAGAGATCACCTGGAATTGTACCGGACAATTGATTCGATCTGAGCTGAATAATAGTCAAGTTCGAGCAGTTTCCAAGCTCTGGTGGAATCGAACCGGACAGATTGTTGGTAGAAAGAGAGAAAACTCGAAGGGATTCAAGGTACCCGTAAGTTGCCGGAATCGAACCAGAGAACGCATTAGCTGAGAGATTCAGATACTGCAAGCTCCATAAACTAGTGAACCCTTCAGGAACTTGACCTGAAAATGAGTTGTCAGCAAGAGAGACCACCTGAAGATTCGGCAAGTTGAAGATCTCGACCGGGATATCGCCGGAGAGGTTCTTCTGACCGCCGAGATCCAACACTTCCAAATTCGACAACTTCCCAGTGCTGGCTGGAATGCGGCCGGAAAACCCATTTCCACTCAAATTCAAAGTCTGCAACTTCACGAGATTCCCGATGCCCGTCGGAATCTCACCGGAGATTCCGTTATCAGCGAGATTCAACACCGTCAGATTTCCCAGCTGCAGCATCTCCGCCGGGATCTCACCTGTCAAACGATTCCCCTCGACTGATAGAGACTGCAAATTGTATAGCTTACCCAAACTCGCCGGAATCGGCCCGGAGAATTCGTTCCCTCCCGCCGAGATACAGGTTCTCTAACCTCAAAATCCCGCCAAAAACTGATGGGATCTCGCCAGAAAACCTATTCATTTCAAAATCAACCACGCGCAAGGACACGCATCTCCCAATCTCGGCCGGAATCGACCCGTTCACCAGGTTCCTCCCAATCCTCAGCTCCCGCAGCGCCGAGAGCCTCCCAATCTCCGCCGGCAAAGACCCAGCAATCAAATTCCCCGACAAATCCAAGATCATCATCGAGGGAAAGCCCGTCAACCACCCTGGGAAGGGCCCGTCAATCCTATTCTCCTTCACGTCCACCCCACCTGCAGGCAGCCTCGAAGCCTCCTCCGCCGCCGCCCTCTCGGGAGGCGAAAACGCGCTAAACGCGTTAAAACCAGCTGCACAATCCTCAGAGAAGAGGCATTGGCGGCCGTATAAAACACCGAATGCCGGTACTAAACCGCGAGAGCTGGTTGTGAGCCAGCGACAGAACCTCAAGCGTCGGGATCTCAGCAACGGCGCTCGGCACAATGCCCTGGAGATTATTGCCCTGGAGGCTAAGATGGAGGAGAGAAGAGCAGTTCGCAAGAACGGCAGGGATCGTGCCCTCAGCAGGTTCCAATCGAGCCAGAGATACATGAGGTCAGGAGGCGAGCAACGGAGGAGGGGATCGTGCCTCGGAGCCGGTGAAGGAGAGTGTGAGAACTGGAGGCCGGAGGAGAAGTTGGGAGAATTGGCCAGAGAACCGTTGGAGGAGAGGTCGAAGGTACGCAGGCTCGGAGGGAAGAGTGCCGGGTCGGGCCCGAGAGCTGGTTGCTGCCAACGTTTGACCGACCTGAGGCTTGTGAGGTTGGAGAAGAAATTGGGTCGACGGGTCCCGGAGAGAGAGTTCGAGCTGGAGAAAGAGGGAGCGGAGACGGCGGAGAGGAGAGGGAGGAGGGGACTGCCGGAGAGGAGTTAGAGCGGAGGCTGAGCTTGGAGAGGGAAGGGAGGGAGAGGAAAGGACGGGAGGGGAGCTGGCCGGAGAGGTCGGAGGCGGGGGAGCGGAGCTCGGCTCGACGTGGCCGCCGGGGAGGGAGCACGTGACGCCGCGCCAGGAGCAGGGGAGTCTGGGAGGGATGGGTTCCATGAGGAGAGGGAGCGGAGGGGTCGTTTAGAGGGAGAGCTTCAACGGAGGAGAGCTTGGACTTCTTCTTCTCTTTGGTTGGTGGTGTTTGTTTTGGCTGAGATTGGAGGAGGAAGACGAGGAGGAAGAGAAGGAGATTAACGGTGGGCGCATTTTTGAAGGTGGTGGGTTGGGGGGGAGAGGAGAAGGGTTTTAGTTTTGTTGAACTTGAGAAGAAGAAGAAGAAGAAGAGAGAGTGTTTTATTCATTATTAGAGCAGAGAGGAAGAAACTTCTTCTTGTTGTTGTTGAGTGGGCAGCAGGTTCAGAAATGCGCAGTGTGGCGAAAGGAGAGAGAGGCGCGGCAGGATCGTGCCCTCAGCAGGTTCCAATCGAGCCAGAGATACATGAGGTCAGGAGTGCGCAGCAACGGAGGAGGGGATCGTGCCTCGGAGCCGGTGAAGGAGAGTGTGAGGAACTGGAGGCCGGAGGAGAAGTTGGGAGAATTGGCCAGGAGAAACGTTGGAGGAGAGGTCGAGGTACGCAGGCTCGGAGGGAAGAGTTGCCTGGGTCGGGCCCGAGAGCTGGTTGCTGGCCAAGTTTGACCGACCTGAGGCTTGTGAGGTTGGAGAAGAAACTGGGGTCGACGGGTCCCGGAGAGAGAGTTCGAGTGGAGAAAGAGGGAGCGGAGACGGCGGAGAGGAGAGGGAGGAGGGGCTGCCGGAGAGGGAGTTAGAGCGGAGGCTGAGCTTGGAGCAGGGAAGGGAGGGAGAGGAAAGGACGGGAGGGGAGCTGGCCGGAGAGGTCGCGAGGCGGGGGAGCGCGAGCTCGGCTCGACGTGGCCGCGGGGAGGGAGCACGTGACGCCGCGCCAGGAGCAGGGGAGTCTGGGAGGGATGGGTTCCATGAGGAGAGGGAGCGGAGGGGTCGTTTAGAGGGAGAGCTTCAACGGAGGAGAGCTTGGACTTCTTCTTCTCTTTGGTTGGTGGTGTTTGTTTTGGCTGAGATTGGAGGAGGAAGACGAGGAGGAAGAGAAGGAGATTAACGGTGGGCGCATTTTTGAAGGTGGTGGGTTGGGGGGGAGAGGAGAAGGGTTTTAGTTTTGTTGAACTTGAGAAGAAGAAGAAGAAGAAGAGAGAGTGTTTTATTCATTATTAGAGCAGAGAGGAAGAAACTTCTTTCTTGTTGTTGTTGAGTGGGCAGCAGGTTCAGAAATGCGCAGTGTGGCGAAAGGAGAGAGAGGCGCCCTTCTCTCTCTCTCTCCCTCCCTCTCTCTCTCTCTCTCTTCCTTGAATTTTATTTTCCCTCTTCTTTGCTCTTCTGATTCTTGAGATGGGTGTTTTCTTTTTATATTTTAGTTTTCTCTTTTGATGGAGAGAAGAGGGTGGAGGTTAGAATAATGGGAATTAATTGGAGGTAATAATTGTGGTATGTTATGGAATTTATTAATTTTATTAGGTTAAATAATTACGGACAAGGGTGTCTTGTTTCTTTGTTTCTTGTTTATTGGGCTGGTTTAATGTATTAACGGCTACTTTTTTCTTTGTTTATTAAACTGATAATTCAAGATGAAATTGAATGATACGTACGTAATCCTGTCTTTTATGTGTATTACTGGATAAACGGTTATCAGTAATGCTAAACTATCCAAAACATATATTTAGCGCCTCAATTGCACCACAGTAACTATGTCTTAATCCTAAATTTAAACTAAATGAGTCGCAGCGTGTAACTATAGTTAAATGGGACTGGTAGTTGTATACAGCTAAATCATTTTAAATGTTCTTACTTACAATAGGACTTGTAAATATTAATTAGTTTAAATTAAACTTTTATAACTTGCGATTGCAGTTCTTCAGTTCTCCTTGTAACCTCCAAATCGCAGTTTTTTTCTACATTTAACAAATTGAAAAATATTCATCATTTTGTATTCAGCATATTTAAATTTAAATATCTTTCATTATTTGAAAAAAATGAATATTTATTTTAAAAATTATTTCTAAAAGTTAATAAAAACACAAAATTATTTTTTAGAAGGTTTTTTGAAAGAATTTTCTTTAAAAATAGAAAATACTTTATAATTAAAAAATTTTTGAGGTTTTCTTAATTTTAAATTAAGATATTGGGATTTTGAAATTTTTTTAAAAAATTAAGATTTGTTGCAAGTGCAACTTGCACTTAAATTTTCCTAAGTTACAACTGTTGGGATTGTGTCTTTAATTCTTTGTATAACTTTATAAGAATTAGATAGGGAGAGTATAGATCTATCATGATTAGGAGATTAGGTCTCATCATGATTAGGAGTTTAAATTATATCCTAGTTAGGCAGTTAGGCAAGAGATAGGGTTTTGGTTTCCCTATATATATTCTTTTATTGTTGAAGGAAAAACTAATTAGAAGAGAAGAGAAATATTGTTGTAATCTAGGGTTAGCAAAGGGTGTAGCCTCATTTAAGAATATTGTGCGACAGGCAAGGGATTCGTAGTCTTTGTTCCTGTAAAAGATTACAACATTGGAAGAGGGTTTCATAGTCCTTATCCGTTCAAAAGATTGTAAGGAGTGTGTTTTGAAAAGAATATGAGAGTTGATTATGTATGTGAGGTTGAGAGATTGAGAGATGGGAGTTAAGTGGTTCCTCTTATAGTTCTCACTGATACATAGTGGATATCTCATATTGTTGCCCCGTAGATGTAGGTCGAAGTTAGTCAACCGAACTATGTAAATCTCGGTGTTCCTTCTTCTTGATTGCAGTTATTTTCTATTTTATTGATTGTGGGCTGGCTTCAATGTTGTGGAGATCGTACTACGCGGGGAGACTAAAATTCCCTAACAAGTGGTATTAAAGCCATAATGATGGATCCGGGAGCAAGTTTGCATGATAGACATCGTACAAAACTGAAGATCGGAGGCGTTACAAGAATCAAGATGGAGAAAAAAATAAGGTACTGTAGCGGCGGGAACACTGTTCACATAGGTGAGGGTTTGGTTAAAAATTATTAAATCAAATCCAACTTGCAGATTAATTTGTCTTCTGATCAAGGATTTGGAGACGGATTCGACGATCCAATAGTTTATTCCTAGGGTTTGGAGTGCTTTGAATGCGATGGGAGGGTGTGATTTTTTGATTTTGCCTAGATTGGTCAGAAAGTGCTAAAAAGTTCTGATGGTAGTAACGAAAAAGATCTGATGGCAGATAAGGCAAACATGTATACGGCAGATAAAACTGGTGTAGAGAATTAGTCATAATTCAAGTAGTAGAATTATCAGCATATAATTATTCAGAGTCATCGCATGAGCAAGAGTTAGTTGGTGTATAGACTCGATGAAGATAGTACCAATTTAGGTGGAGCTCGCAAGCAGGCACGATTGAGTGGCACACATAGAGATGAAGATAGCATTGGACTATGAGAGGTGTAAGACGATGAGCGTTCACATTATGTCCAAGCCAAAAGATGGAAAAGATGAAGGCATCCGGCTCGTAGTGTGACATAGAAAATGTGCACTAATAAAGATTGAGATGAGCGATGCAAGTGGAGTACGAGGACAATAAGTGGGGGAAGGCTACTGTCAAGTTCAGTTCAGGAGGAGAAGTATAGTTGATTTTTTTCTAATGTCAGAGGTGGCGAAGATCTCTTGGTGTACACAAGAGAGTTAGAGATGCCACGGGGAGGCAGACGATAGCGAGGGTCACGGGACGTCCTAGTTGGAGTGCATGTGTTCTGATTAGGAATGTGGATACTTCGACTTGAAGTGCAAAAGAATAGAAGACACTAGCCAGAGAGGTAAAGTTTCAAGACGACAATAATATATCTTCAACGAAGTTTGGGAATCAAATCCAATATGGAGATTGTTGGGATTGTGTCTTTGATTATTTGTATAACTTTATGAGAATTAGATAAAGTTAGAGATCTATCATGATTAGGAGATTGAGTCTCTCATTATGATTAGGAGTTTAAATCCTATTATAATTAGGAAGCTAGGCTGGAGATAGGATTTTGGATTCCCTATATATATTCTTTTATTGTTAGAGGAAAACCGAGAAGAGAATAGAGAGAGCCAATATTCTTGTAATCTAGGGTTAGCAGAGGGCATAGCCTAATTCAAAAATATTGTGTGAGAGATGAGGGTTTCATAGTCTTTATCCGTGCAAAAGATTATAATATTGGGAGAAAGTTTCATAGTCTTTGTTCGTTCAAAAGATTATAAGGAGTGGGTTTTGGAGAGAATACGAGAGTTGATTATGTATGTGAGGTTGCGAAATTGAGAGACAAGAGTTGAGTGGTTCCTCTTATAGTTCTCTCTGATACATAGTAGATTTCTCGTATTGTTACCCCGTGGATGTAGGTCGAAGTTGGTCGGCTGAACCACATAAATCTTCGTGTTCCTTCTTCTTGATTGCGGTTGTTTGCTATCTTATTGATTGTGGGTTGGCTTCCAAGTTGTGAAGATCGTAGTACACGGGGAGACTAAAATTTCCTAACAACAACTTTAGTTGAAATGGAGCATCCAGTTGCCACTAAATAAATGCTCATAATTG